ATTTTTTATTAATATTAGTTATTTGGTACAATTTTTTATTAATATTATTTAATTGTTACATTTCTCATTTTCTTAATTAGTTCATTGTTACATTTCTCATTAAAATATAAAACTAGTTAATTGTTACATTTCTCATTTTTGTATTACTTAATTACAACTTTTCTCATTTAATTGTTGAAGAATTAAACATGTTAATTGCTACCTTTCTCAATACAAAAAAAACTAGTTAATTGTTACATTTATCATTTCCCTATTACTTAATTAGTTAATTGTTACATTTGTCATTAAAGTATATATTAAAGTAGTTAATTGTTTAATTATTAAAGTAGTCACTTGCTACCTTTCTCAATACTTTAAAAAACTAGTTAATTGTTACATTTCTCATTCTTCTATTAGTTAAAGTAGTTCGAATTTTTTTTTCAAGGAAAAAAATAGTACTTCGAATTTCATTACTCACATTTTAATAAATTAAATACACTTGTTATTTAATTAAAGTACTTGGAAGTTTGCTATAATTTTATTAGTCACATTTTATTATTACTATTGTACTCATATTAATATATTTGATAGAATTATATATTTGTTACATTTTAAAGATGAACCTTGGTAGACATTCTGTAGATATGGGTAATCTCCAACGCAACCGAAAGAAGGAGAATGCAACGACTCATCCTAGTTCACGCAAAGGCAAAGGTAAAGGATGGGCCGGGTCTTCTTCTCAAAGTCAAGATGATTTCGAAATGGATTACCATTGACGAAGAAGAGCTCGAGGATGAGGATGCGGAGGAGAACGAGGGGGGCGATGGCACCCCAGATGATGAGCAAGAGTTGGAGGACGAGGGTGGTTCATCCCAAATTGGTAAGAAAGCTAAATCTCCTATTATAGAAAATAATTTTACAAAGAGGAAATACATGCTTACCGAGAAACGGTACGCAAGTTGCAACCATTGCAAAAAAGAGTTTAGCTTGGGAACTTCCGGCGGATACGGGAGCCTCAAAAGGCATTTTAAGTCCGCGCACACCGTTGAGTTTGCGAAAATAGACAAAGACTAGAGGAAGCAAACACAAATATCGAGGTTTGCAAATGGCCAACCCTTTGGTAATTTCTCCTATGATGATCAATAACATTTGACTAGTATGTCTCATTTAATTGTTGAAGAAAATTTACCTTTTATTTTTTCTCAAAGCTTGCTTTAAAAGAATATGCTCAAGGTACTTTAAATCCTCAATTTCGCAACTATAGTCGCAAAACGATTAAAAGAAAAATTACAAATATTATTCGCAAACTTTGATGGACGTGTTAGTATTTGTAGCGATATATGGGAGGATACTCATCATCATTTATATTATTTGGGTCTGACTGCATATTATATTGATGATGATTGGGAAATGCATACACGTGTTCTTGCTTTTCGTGAGTTTAATGATCAACACACCGCTGATAATATTTATCTTCTCATTGAGCGTATTTTAATTGAGTATAATTTGATTGATAAGGTGTTTGTTGTGGATTTTGATAATGCTAGTAATAATACTGCTGCTATACCTAGATTGCGTGAATTGTGTGGTGCTTCTACATTGTGCATGTCATAATCTCAATTTGTGAGTACAAGATGGGCTAGCCGCGTTAGGACAAGCTTTAATTTGGAGATGGTGAAGGGGGGGATGAAATTGATTTGGGGTACTAATCCACTTAAAAGGCAATGACGGCAATATTCGAAGGGTAGACGTATCAATTGTTTTGCTTTTCCTAAAGATTTGTCTATTCGTTGGAATAGTACTTATAACTTAATTCAAGTACTTCTTAGATATAAAACAATTTTCCTGCTTTGTAAGACAATCTTGTAACTACGGAGTATATTATAAACCCGACTGACATCGACACGTGCGAAAAAATTGTGAATGTTTTGGTATATTTTAATAATGCAACTCAAACTTTTATTCATGTTTATAAACCCTACTGCAAACCATTTTTTTTGTTGAAGTTGGTAATCTCGCCGGCACTTTTTGTGAATTTTCCGATGCCGCTTACGCTAGTTATTTTTTTGATTTCATGAAAAAAAAGTTTTAAAAATATTATTCACACATTCCGCATATATATGGTATTGCATTTATTCTTGATCTCGTTTTAGACTTGTTTCTTTGCCAAAATGTATAGATTACTATTATGCTACTTTTTTTTTAGTCCAACTCAAATATTTGACGATAATCCCATAGACCCTAAACAAGAATTCAACGAGGTTAGTAATTTATTTCATCAATTATATAATGAATTATAATATTTTGTGAATTTTTCGATGCCGCTTACGTTAGTTATTTTTTTTTATTTCATGAAACAAAAGTTTTTAAAATATTATTCACACATTCCTCATATATATGGTATTGCATTTATTCTTGATCCTCGTTTTAGACTTGTTTCTTTGCCAAATTGTATAGATTACTATTGTGCTACTTTTTTTAGTCCAACTCAAATATTTGACGATAATCCCATAGACCCTAAACAAGAATTCAACGAGGTTAGTAATTTATTTCATCAATTATATAATAAATTTTATGCACAATATGGTAATGCACCCCCCGTCATGATCATCTTCATCTACAAGAAAATCACTTTTTAAACCTGCATTTGGCAATCTTATAAAAAAATAAAGCAACTCCCGTTAATGAACAAAGCTCAGTTAATGAGCTTTCTATGTATCTAACATTTCCCGTTGATTATGAAGAAGGAGATGACTTTGACGTTCTAAAGTAGTGAAACTGTGAAAGGAAAAATAAAGAGAAATTTATCACGGATGCTACTAAAACATGATGTAGTTCCCATTATGACTAATTGAAGTTTTATACTAATCTAGAACATGACCATCTCCATGCAACGTGGATATTAAGTTTTATTTTAATTCCAGTAATGCCCTCCTGTCTAGTTAATGAGCTGATTTTTCATCCTAAAATAATGTCTGGCCAAGTAAATTACCTACCACGCATAACCGCTTAGAGGCATAACAGGTCAATTATTAATGAGAATCTCCTAAAAATATGGAAAGATCATTTTTATTCATAAGGAAAGTCTTTTCATTATTTTTTATTAGTATCTCTATCACAACACGTTCTTCACCGAATGTAACCCCGTTTTTCTTCTTCACCGACTTTCTTGCTATGGCCGATGCTATAATCCCAGCATTGATATTGTGCAGTGATTTTTTATTGATATTGTGCAGTGATTTTTATTGGATACTACGTATAGTGATGCACTATCAAATACCACCATTGATATTGTGCAGTGCTTTTTTATTAGAAATAATGTACTACTATATTAATGCACTAACTAAAAATTAGGAACTAATTGCAAGCCATCAAATGAGTTACTATTGCATTCTTAATTTTTTTTATACGAAATAAAATTGCACAACATGAAAACTCAGTATCAAACTACAAATATCAAATTTATTGCACTCCTTCAATGCATTAACAAAGCATAAACTGTCACTGCACATCTAGGATTTCATAATTTTTTCACTGCATGACTATGACATATACATTGTTTACATGTATCAGCTTCACACCCAATTCAACTCCACCGCAATCTCATGTGTGTTCTACTCTAAAACAAAAAAATATTGATTTTGACTATTTCATACTCCGACCAGCCAACTGGTATTTTGCCTGTGACTTCCTCTTTCCCGTCACCATTTTTTCTGGCTAGTACGTATGCTCTGTTCAAACTTGCTTTAGCGTTGCACCTTCTTGTTTGTTTTGCTTGGAGAAGTGTCGATCACAATCATGAGTTACGGTTAGCTTTTTTCTTCCTTCCATAATTTGAGTTCCGGAGAATAAGGCTCAGTGGTAAGACTCCTTCCGTTAGTTTTCTTTTCCAAAGTGTAATTTGTAAACTGCATGCAGCACATACCATATCCACGTTTCTTTAATTGAGGTCAATTTTGCCATTCCATGTTGTTTGTTATGGGTGCGGGATTTGATTTTTATGTTTTTAGTCATACGGATGACTAAAAACTAGTTTAGTCATATTGTGAGAATGTTATCAACTTTTAGTCATAGATAGGTATTTTTCCAAAAAAGAAAGAACGTTCCTGGTTTTTATCAAAGATGGCTAAGCAAGTGGAACAAGAATCTAGTGCGGCCGGTAACGTCCTAACGGATTATAGAACGAGATTAAGCCCAAAGTCACTTGAGACGCTTGTTTGCTTCCACAATTGTTTGAAGGCCGAACGTAGAACTCAAGAATTGAGTATCGCCTCCACCTGCCACTTTATGGAGGAAACAACCGAAGGCGGAGATTCGGATTGATTATTAATAAGAAAATGTATTTCATTTATTAATTTTTTCTCAATTCTCCATTGTACTTATTATTTCAAATAAATATATTAAGCTCATAACCGGCCCGGCCCGGCCCGGTAATCGCCTGGGTGGCCCGGCCGACCCGGAACCCCTGCCTACCCGAGCCAATTCTGGTTCTTCCTTCCCAAATAAAAAGTTCGGGCAGGCCAGGCCCGACCCGCCCCTAGTCGCACATAGTGCGTACTCTACCCGTACATATACATGTATGTAAACACGCACACTACGAAGTATATAGGACACTTCATATCTTGTTGGTCTGACGAAAATTGTCGTCGGGCCGAAGCAATTTGGAAGCCTTTTCGGTGGAATTTTTTAAGCATATTTTTCATCAAGTATAGATTACCTCCACAAATTTTAAGCTTAAAATTCAATCGAGAAATCAATTAAATAAAATATTGAAGAAATAATTATATAAATATGACCAAAACAAATATGATTTACAAAAGTATGACTAATTACTAGAGTAGTAATGAAATCATAGTAATTCATGTTTTAGTTTTGAACTTAAGTTACCACAACACTACGTTGTAGTAATGAATAGTCATATTTATATAAATAAGTTTTATTTTAGTAATATTCTTGTAAAAAACCCAATATTGAAACATACTTCGTTGTATATAAATAATGTGCAGTATGTTTTACTTTTACTAACCCCATTTTCCATATTCATCCAGCCAGTTTTTTACCAACATGATCCATAAGTACATGAATTAGAAGTACTAAACTATATGCCCTTTACATCACATCAGTACTAAACTACTGACTAATAGTCGCTAATCATTAACCTATGCAACTCGTCAGCCACTTGGAAAGCAGCGGGACGTTCACCCCTGTTTTTGCAAATACATTTTTTCCCCAAATCTATAAGTTGTGCTACTAAATATCTATTGTACTCAGGTTGGACGAGCAGGTACTCCTGGATTTGATCTTCACAAGTATTTGAATCAGGAATCAGCCTATTGACTCTATCAATAAGTGGATCATTTTTTATGCGTTCAACTGGAATCTTGGTCATCATTTCAAAAACTAGAACTCCTATAAAGTAAATTTCAACCTTGGTGCAATCGATGCCACCTATTAAGATTTGAAAAAAAAGAATGACATTAGTAAATGACTAAAAGCTGATACGTATGTAAAGTGTATGTTCAATTTTAAATTAACTTAATTAATAAAAATCTAAAAATATAAAATATATACTCCGGTATTTCAGTAACTTACCCCAATAAGAATCATCATAAACAGGATCTGACCGTTTACGCCTCTCACCAACAGATGTGATTGTGCCAAAGTCGCACAATAATGCCTTATCACCCTAGAATTAAAAAGTACTCGTAATATATCACAACTGCTGAATCCAACTTGTTAGTATGCATTACTTGTATAACAATTATTAGCATGTACATATTATTACTTTTAACAAAACGTTGTCCGGTTTAAGATCGCCATGAATAAGTGAATCAGGAATGTGGGAATGAATCAAATGCAATCCGAAGGCTATGCCGTGTAAGACTTTCACAATTGAGCGCAAGCCCAAATCTGCAAAAAGCCATGTATTTCACGTCAGATTAAAGTATCTGTGAAGTACTTCGTATATGTTTAGGATCAAAATGTATATTATGTAGATACATTATGATGTAAAAGCTTGGAGTGAGTCCATTGGTATAAATTTTTATCAAATTATTATACAAATAAAATAAAGAAAATATTGCATGATCGTCCTTAAAGCCCATGCTCTGATGCTCTTGAGCAAGCTACCTACTTTCCCACTCATTAACAATGAAGTCACGCTTATAAAGCAACATCGATTTAAAGTTCAATAAATAATACTCCGTATAATTCTGAAAATAGATACGGAGTAAATGATACGGACTACAGAGTACCGTGTAACCGCTGCTGGAGGGTACCACCAGTGATGTACTCCGTAACCAAGCAAGCTCGTTTAGAAACATCATCAGACCCATGGCCTATCAACCTGAGCACCCTGTCTCCATATAAAAACCTATACCACGTCCTGAAATCAATCTCCCCCTACACCAAAGAAAGCAAAAATGAAATCCAGAAGAAATGTCCTAGACCTTGTTTACTTATTAAAATATACCTCATCCACTCTTAACCTGAGATTTTTTATGCTTTTAAAACAACCAAACAAGTCATATTTTGTGAATAAAACAAAGTTATTACTCTTATTTGGAACAATTTTGAAAACAAATATTTTACATAGACATGGATCATGCATCGCAATACATACAAACTAGAAAGTCAAACTTAAATTTTAACATGAACAATCCATACTCATGCATATTTTACATACTCATGCATATTTTGAAACATTGATTTAAATAAATAAGCAGCTCATTACATTAACTCAATTGACATCAAACTAAAATCTTATTGTGTTTCATTGTGTAGTTGTTCAAAACTATCCTACGGAACTACACTACATACAGAACTATTAGCGCAAGTGTTAACAGTATCGGAGCCATATATTTAACAACAAATTTGATCATTCTCTAAGATTCTAACCACCACAATTTTTCTAATGGAGATCTGATTAGATACTCCTCTTGTATTTTAGGATAGTGTATATAGTAATAGGGATATCATTAGATACCTTTTCTGTATTTTAGGATAGTATACATAGTTACTCATTCTTCCCTTAAATGTAATTATTCTAGAATCACCTTTAGTAATTATTTTGAATGAGCAATACAACAGATTTCACATTTCTTACATAGTATCACAGCCTTCCATTTTCTTTCCACCAAACCTCCAGAAAAACTTTATTCTGCATTCCTATGTTAGAAGGTAGCACTCCCTCTCCCACTTCTGCCTGAGTAGGCTCTCCTGGGATGTCTCGACCACTTGTCTCAGCGGTGTGTTACTCCTCACTGCTACTCTTGGCACCTTCTCCTACGCTGGACTTGTGCTATGCATCTTAAACAACTACATAACCTTACATAACCTTCGGAAAGGCAACACGTCTACAATTGAGTATTTCAAGAACAAAAGAGATTTGGCAGATACTCTTGCCAACTACTCCTATCCCGTGTCAAACAATGACTTCATCTCCGCTATTCTGTATGGTCTTGACCTGTATAACGGTCCACTTTGGTCTGCACTGAACATTCAACTTGACATTCTTCATCCCGATAAACTTTTGGGTTTTTCTCTTGTCAAGGGTGGGCCGAGAATAGTCACCAACTCACTGTGGCCAACCAAGTGGTACCACGCGTGCCTATACCATACTAGGTTGCCAAAAATACAATGCAAATAATGTAGCAATACATGTGTGTAGGTACATTCAGATACTTTGCCACTAACTATATGGATTACCTTCACGTTGATGTAGTAGCCCCGACGGTTAATTTTGAAGGCATAACGTCCTGGTGGCAACCGCATAGGATCCTCCTCCTCTACCGTATACGCATATATCCTTGCATACTGTCCTTCTCCAACTAAGTCTCCCATCACCTCAATCTTCTCAAGTAATATGTCAGAAATGACATTCGAAAAATCCACTGGTGCTGCAACAAAACACCAATCCATATGTTCTATTTTAAGTTCTTAAGTAAAACACGGCAAGTTTCTCCGTATTTGAAAAACTACTGCAATATGGGGAAAATCATATTTGAAAGTTTAAAAGCCATGAGGTATATATAGTGATTACAAATAAATTTCGCTAGGTGTATAGATGTATAGAGAGAAACTTTACCGTCATCAACAAGAAGTGAATAAAATCTCTCAACATGTCCAACAATATTGGAGTACTTTAGGAATACCCGGTGTAGTTGAGAATCTGCCTGTTTTGTTTAAAAAAAAGTAATATGTAGTATTGTGTAATTTAACGGTTTCTTGAAGTTCAAACTTATAGATAAAATGACCTATTTGGATAAATATATGTAAGCACTAACCAAGGTTTTCAATATGATTGAGGTAGATGCCACTAATTTTGCATCATACACAGAAGGGGAGTTTTCCCTACATCAAAGCAATTAGAGATATACTTAAGATTCTTTATTTCACTTGAAATATGAAAAATAAAAACTCGAAAGAACGAATTAGTGGCGTACTGATCCTGAAACAAATATGATGAATCAGATAGTCTCAATGCTAGCCTTTGGAATGCTGCCTCAGCTTGGGAAAGTATCTTGGGCATCTTCTCCGCAATAGCACTGTTATGAGATGCAATTGGCTCTGAAAGATGTTGCGTCAGCTGTTTAAAATCATTCATCTGAGGGACGTGGTTGAGATCTTCTAAATAAAAATAGTACAAGGTCCACAATACTGCATTTTCCACATCTGTGATGCATCTTCGGATCAAGGAGTCATCATGCACATTTGCTACAGGAAATGACCTTTCTAAATCTTCAAAAGAAGTGAGATACTGATCATTGAACTTCAAAGACGGAACTGTGTGCATGCCAAAATCAAGGAAAATAAGTTATAAGCTCGACTATATCAAGTGTAAGTACAAGTAATGAATTGTGCAAAAACTAGGTTGTGTATGTATTCAAATCAACAAGCCAATTAAAGGAAATGACCTAGCAGCATCAACTATTGGGGTATGTAGCCACCTTTTCCTTTCATTATTGATCTAGAAGCCAAAAATGATAAAATATCGAGCTAGCTTGGACCGAGTGAAAAGGCATAACTATTTTTACCAAAAATATAAGAAATTGAGTATACCTGTTACATTCTCATCACTTGAAACAGCCCGAATGTTGAATATGCTTATAGCATACTTCAAATATGCATACCAGCTCATAGATGTCACCGATGGAGAGAATGCGGATGGGAATGCAATCTCCCATTCATGAACTATCAGTTCTTTGTCATTCCCAATCCTGCGTGAATTACAAATCAGTTACTCTTTACATTATTGCAATGCAATACAATGGACAAACATTACAAAATTGGTTTTATAGTATTATCACTATAATAATTAAGATTTGCTATCTAGCTACCCAATTTGTGATGAGGCTGCTTCTTTTGAATCCATCATATCAGGTCCATGAAAGTGATAAACCTAATCAGTTTTGTTAAGCCAGGTGATTGATACACCTTTCAGCAAAATCCCATTTCCAAGCTGAAACAAATTAAATAGAGAGGATCATTTATCACATTGTAGGATGTTGTATCTAGTCAAACATGATCGCATATCAGATTGAAAATTTCATGGTCATTCCACACACATGAAAATATATATGGATATATATTGCATATAGCTCTAAGGATGGTGCCCTGCCCTCTTGTGTGTTCATTATGGCAGTTTGTGTAAATGTTTATAAAGAAAAATTATGTTACGCTAAAGGCAGCAGCCTAGCAGCCTTAATCAAAGTAAATAGTTGGCAATAGGTTGTACATATTGTAGAGACGTTCCAATGAATATAAAACACTTCAATTTGTCCCTTCTCTGTAAGGTAAAAGGGCACACTGATCTGCCTTCAACCTTTTTGAAGATGTGCCCCTTGCACCCACCCTCTTTAGTTTATAATATCAGCTCACCCATGATTAGATTTAAGAGGACTAGCCAACAATAGTGGAGGAGTAATCAATATTAAAAAAAGATAAAGTTTGATGAAATCGAAAATTTCTTTCAGCAAACAGTTTCCTGAGTTTCAACACATATCAGTAAGTAAACATCTTTTTTTTTTGCTTCGGTTAATTTGTCTTACTTCAATATAGTAGTAAAAGAATTAAAACTCGAATAGCAAGTTGGTGTAATTAGTTTCCATAATATTAAACGAGCGAAAGGAAAAGAGAATATAGACAAAGCAAAGATTGGAACAACAAAAGTTGTCGTTTCTACCATAAATCCCAAATTTCAAGTGCAGTATTGAAGAAAAACATAAGCACGTCTTGCAGAAAGAAGATAAATGTACATTATCGGAAATGGGGTATGAGCAAATGCAATCACAGTTGAATCACCACGATATATAAGAAATCAAACTAAGTCAAAAGGTACTCGAGAACAATGAATATACTCCGTATATTTTAAGAGAAAGCAAATGTGGTAAAAACTATGAATAACAGGTGGAAAAATAATGAATATGGCAAATCGCGGTGTAAGCGGATGTGAAATCGAGTTTGCTTGAAGTTAGAACGTAACCCCAACGAGTTTCTCTAGCTAGTCTACATCGACCGTATGTACGTATAAGCGGCAAAATACGACCTGAGCATGTGCGAAGGCTGCTGGTTCTAAGCTCCGGCAACCACCAGGTCTCCGGAAATTAGGGGCACGGGGTATCCGGCCGCCAAGCCAGCTCACACTGTTTAAGTATATTTACATGGAAGTATGGAACGGTGGAGAAGAAATGCATTACCTCAGTTCTGGACACGTCGTCGGAGGTGAAAGCTTCTGTACTACACTTCGGTGGACGCCGGCGAACTGATGAGAGAGAGAAATGAAATCGTGCAGCAGCACGATTTCATTGCGAAATGAGAATAAAGCAGAGTACGGAGTATCATTTTTGTCTTTTTGTAAGAGGAGCAAATTCATTTATTCATTTGATACGGATGATGCTATTTCATTATCCAATCTATAACATTCATATCCTCTTACTTTACTTTTTCAGACGTATATATTTCCATTTCTAAATCTTCCTATCATACCTTCAATAATTTAAAAAATAATACTATCCTCCGTCTCTTTTTAATCGCAACATGTTGAATTTTACACTATTCACATATTCTACTTTGACTACATTTTATATTATTATTTTATGAAAATTATTTTTATTAAATTATGTTGTTCAATTCATCTCATTACAAATTTCCAAAATCTAATTTTTAAATATTTTTTACTAATAGGGATTAAGATATAATTACGGTCAAAGATGTGCGTTGACAAGTGTGAAATGTTGACAAGATATGACTAAAAAAGAACGGTGGAAGTAAACTACTACACCTACTTTTTTTGGATTTATCCTTCGTTCCATCACATTATCTTCCCATCATACCCTCAATAATTCATACTTCATTTCATTATTCTTAATCTCACACATTTTGGAAGTGGGAAGATATATGTGATACGGAGGGAGTACTCCGTATATGTATGACAGACTAGTTAAACATATTATGGTTTGTAGACTTTTGCAAGTTAAATACAGAGTAGTTTTATGTTTATAGCTCACATCATTGATATATGTGCTTTGATTTTTTATCCTTCTACTTCCGTCATTAGCTAATTTGACTTTTCAAGTCAAACTTTAACTGATTAGTACCTTTGTTCTCTTTCAGTTGCAACATTAGACTTTTTGCACTATTCACGTATTATAAATTAAATTTTAAAAAAATATTTGTAAATTCTTCTCATTCTAAATTTTCAAAATATAATTTTTTTAATTTTTTAGTAATAAGGAATTAAAGATATTAATGGTCAAACTTATACGTTGGCAAATGTGAAATGCTGATTGTTGCAATTAAAAGAGAACGGAGGAAGTATATATTTATACACACTATTACGGAGTATTATTTATATGAATACATTTTTTTGTTGAAAATATTATTAGAAAAGTATAAATTTATTAAGTTCATATGACTTTTAATTTTACTCTAGTTATTTTAATGACTATAATTGTATTTAAATGTTACATCTTTTCATTTTTGTGGTTAAATTTGCATCACTATTGTTTCTAGAGAAAAGCCTTCTCGCTCTCACATAGTTAGTTGCTTTAGATTTGTTCTACTATAAAAGGAAAAAAGAGGTAATTCTCTAAAAAATGATTAATTAAAAGTTACTACTATGTAAATTGCAAAATTGGACTGAAGGTTTTAAATTCCAAAATAAGACTAATTCTTCCTATCATACTCTTACTCTTTTAAAGATTTAAAAATAAATGTAAGCCTTATTTGACGCCAGGGGCGAAGTTATGTACTCACTCCGGTTTTTAATAAACTTCACACTTTCCTTTTTGGGACGGTCTAAAATAAACTCCACACTTCCTTATTTCCCTATTTGGCAAAGCAAAACTACATCACAACAGTCCCAAACAGTGTCAAACAGTACCAAACAGTGCCAAACAGTGCCTCAACAGTGCCTCAACAGTGCTAAACAGTGTCTCAACAGTGTACTCTACAGTAAAGTCAAATTTATTTTCTTATTTTGTGTGAACTCAAAATGTGAAGATTAATAAAAACCGAAGGTAATATATAGCTGGGGTAGCTTTGGCATGGTACTACCATGCTTTGGCATGGTAGTGTTTTACTACCATGCTTTGGCATGGTATGTTTTAAAAAACACTGTACGTAATATAGTAGTGTTTGCAGTTGCTTAAAAAAGCGCTTTTCTACTTTTGGCTTAAAAAAAGCTAAAAAAGTGTTTTCAAATGACAACTTCTGCTTAAATTAATTAGTTAAAAGCTAAAAGCTGGAAGCGGGTAGAAAGGTGCTTTAAACTGCTTTTCACTTTTTCTGTTACACAAAAAGTACTTATTTTACCAAACACTATCAACTTTTACTTTTTCAGAATCACTTTTTTCTCAAACACTACCAACTTTTACTATTAATCACTTTTCCCAAAATCACTTTAAAAAATCACTTTTTTTAAGTTGAAGCAATTGCAAACACTCCTCAGCACGACTGTACGTAATAAAAAAACACTCAATCATCTCATTTTCTCCGCCGCATAATTATATCGTAAAAAAATACATTACATAGTAAAAAAATGTATGGCTCCATATTACAGTACATCGTAATACACAAAAGAAAATCTCAATTACCTCTCAATTACCAACATTGTTTAAATCAATGGAGTGCGGACTCAACTCCCTTGAGACAAACATGTAGAGAAGTCAACATTCACGGTAAGAGGTATAAACACGTTCGTTCCTTTAGGGGTGTTTAGAACTGATTTTGCTTCTGCTTCCTTTTTAAAGCGGAAGCAGAAGCAGTTTTAAGAAGCTAACTCTCCCATCTCCTAAAAAAATTGATTGTACGAGTAAATTAGAGCATCAGAATCATTTTTGTAATTTCAACCAAACATCTCAACTTCTGCTTCTATTCCCTGAAGGAGCAGAAGCAGTTTTAAAAATCAGATCCAAAACACCCCTTAATCGCATAATGTTTCGGGTCATGTCAGTCACCCGTGGGGGACCCACTCTTGATCTTAGGTATTCACATGAATCAGGTGCGGAATCAGGGAAGAGCGAGCCGGTGCTGGCGCCACCCCTTCACCGGAATTTTTTAGTACGAGTATTAGGTATATTGATTGCCGCCCCGGCCGCGCCTCTTCATATTCTTCATTGAGACTGAGGTTGCCCGTGGAAGATGCTGTGAACGAGAGCTTAGGGAGGCTTTGTTTTTTAAAAAATAATTAAATGAGCCAAACGACGTCGTTTGGATTAGTGCACATGGAAAACAGAACGACATCGTTGTGACCATATAACTATGATATACACTATACGCGTTGACCGTCCTCTTACCGTAATTCCTTGTGCGGCCTATGCGGCGTAAGTTTGGCCGTTTGGGTAAGTCAGTAAGTATGGCATTTAATTTTAAAATTGAAATCTGTTTTAAATTTTAATTACTTTATTTGCTTAATTAGGTTACTTAATTATTTACTTTTAACTTGGATTGATTAAATGGATTAAGGTTTACACTTGATTAATTGGTTTAATTGATCTAAAGTGTAATTGATTAATGAGTTTTTTACACAAATATTACTAAAGTAAAATTTACTGAGTACTACGTATAATTTACACAAATATGACCATTAGTTACTAGTACTACAATATAGAGTCATAATAACTCAAGTTTAAAATTTGAACATAAATTACTATGATTTCATTATTACACTAGTCCCTAATTACATTTTTGTAACAGTCTTTAGTTTAGTCATGAATATTTAATTGTTTCTTGATTAATTGCTTGAGTTGAAATTGATTGTGCAACTTTTTGATTAATGAGTTTCATTGCTTTAGTTGTTTCAAATTTTAATTGATTATAGCTATGGAGTATTTAAGAATTTGAAGTTGAAAACTTTTTTCACTTGTTAGGTTACTCATGTCATCATATCTATTTTATAATATGTAACACTTGAGGTGTTGGGTCTTCTAGACGAAATAACGAATAAAGTAGTAGAGAAAAACAGCATCATGTCTAACATTTTGGCTTCGTCTTCTAACATTTAATTGTAATATAATGTACTCTTCTCACAAATTTTATATTCTGTAAACTTTAATAACAATTTATATTTTTGCATTTTATCTTACTTTTAACCACCCCTTCATTTTCGTTCTGGTTCCGCCACTGTGAATACCTAAACTCTCGTAAAACATGCAAGTATATAGAAGTATGTGTTTACTTGGTATAATTATTTACTCCCTCCGTCCCATAAAATTCTTCCCACATTCCTTTTTGGGATGTCCCAAAAAATTCTTCTCACTTTTCCTTTTTGAACAATTTGTGTGATTCACATTCATTTCACTTTTTTCTTACACAACCACAACCACACATTTCCACTTTATTTCACTTTCTTAATCTCTGTGCCCAGTCAAAGTGGGAAGAATTTTCTGGGACGGAGGGAGTACTACTTTTTGGATTTCTGAATTAGTTGTATATGTGTATCTAAAATAAATATTGTAAACTAAAATGTGACTTGTATGTAGTGACTGTCGAGTTTGTGCAACTTTCACTCCCCGATTATTGTGCCAATGACACTTTTGTTACGTGATTTTCAATATTTCTTTTTTAGTCATCGACTATTGTGCAAGTGACATTTATGGTCCTTGACTTCAAATTTTCTTACATTTAATTCCTTGAACATTATCAAATTGACATTTTTAGTCCTTCCCTATGATTTTTACACAATAAGTGGAGGACCAAAAGTGTCATTATTATAATAGTTGAAGGACCAAAAATGTCATTATTATAATAGTTGAAGAACCAAAAGTGACTTTCACTCAATAGTCAAAAACTAAAAGTGAAAAAATCAAAGTCGAGTTCTAAATGTCAATAACACAACAATCGGAGGACTAAAAGTGACAAAACTCAATAACTATCATTCAAAGTAGAAAACATACTCGATATTATTTATTTGACATTTAGTACAAAATTAATTTAGACTAGAAGCTCCTCCATTGGGATGCTTTTGCAAGTGATTCTACTTTTAAGACCCGATCATTCAATATACCAGATTTAATATAATATTTTTCATCCACTATTCATCCAGTCAATTTAAGTTGTTCTTAATTTTACTTTATGCATCCAACTTTTATTATATTGAAGTTTCTATTGCCACTATATAAAAATTTTAATATAATTTCTGAATACATAATTTTTCGTTGCACATTATTATTAATAAAAGTCATAGACAAAAATATTACTTAGTAACCATTAATGACTACAATTGTGTTCAAATTTACATCTAATAATTACAAATTAATATTTTTGTCCCCCACATTTAAAAATGTATTACTAATGGATTTTTCAAATTTTATTTATTAAAAATAATCTTATTATTGACAAGGATCAATAAACTTTATGACTAATCAAACATCATAAACCATAACAGTAAGTCAGTAACCTTTATCTGAGAGTCCGAAAAAGAAGTTAATCTAACTTTATCTTGAATGGGTTGTGAACATATCAAGCTTGTAACCCCAAGTATCCAACCTACTGGCTTAGTAATCAAGTCGGGTATTGAGCCTGAATTATGAAATTCAGCCTCAATATCAGCCCAAGTTTTTACCGGACTAAGTCAGGCCAGGACTAAATAGTACTAGGTCGGACTAGACGTGGCCTCGGGCCGGTTCGGGCCCAGTTCGGACCTGGGCCCGGCCGGTTCACGGTTCATGGAAGGGGAGGCCCGGAACCAGCCCGGGTAACCCCCGGGTCTATGTCAGGCCGGACATCCGGTTTGAGTATATTTTTTTCCTTTCCTAGGTACCCCTGACCCCCCCCCCCCCCAAACCCCTCCTAACCATCAAGCCCAAAAAAATGAAAAAAAAAAAACAATTTTGGCCCGGAGCCAGGCCCAACCGGCCGGGCCGGTTCGCCAAAACAGGCACCCGAGCCCGGAACCGCCCTACACCCGCACCTAGGCCCAACCCGGACCCGGAAAACCGGGCCGGGCCGGTCCCGCACAGTTGCGGGCTGGGCCGGTTCCCGGGCCGGGCAGCCTGAACCGAGGCCACCACTATGTCGGACCAGTTTTTGGGACAGGACTGGATAAAAAAAGTAAAAAAAACAGTGGAATCAGGCCCAAAAAACAAGCCTAAAGCCCGCCTTTATAGCCGCCGGGTATGGCGACTGGACGGTGGACGGGACCAGGACTGAAAAGTAGCAGGCAGGATCGGGCCTGTACAGTGCCTGGCCCGGCCAACACAGTTCATCCCTTATCCAGTGGTATCCCAACGCTTGAGTAGCATTTGTTTTTCTGACTTTTTATTAGTGTTCTTTTTATGAAATTATTTGGGGAAAAAAATCTGACGTTCGTTTATTTACATAGACATTAGTATGTATTTACACGATAAAGAAAAACGCACTGACAAAGACAATTAAGAGCACAACACTTGGATTCGTAAAATTTTGGGCGTGGATTAAAGGTTTTTCTGCAAAAAAAAAAAAAAAACAAATGTCACTGCTTTGATTCAATCCATATGTAGAAAAAAACAAGAGTCCTGCTGGATTTTTCTTCTATACTTGACACTTCCAACACTGCAACAGGCCCGGCCAATAAATAAATCATAAAAAGAAAACCACCAACGTAACTTTCTGCTTCATACAACCCACCCACAGATACCATATAATACCCCCCTCCAATCCCCTGCCCAAAAAATAAATGATCATCTGTGGCAATCTATAGTGCTATTCATAGGACACTGCAAAAGACCATCCTGCTTTTTGGCCCAACAACCACAGTAACATGTTTATGAGGACAGTTGTGTCTTTCTACGCTACCCCTAAAGGGAGTGTGTGACGTTGTCTACGGGCACTACCCTTAGGGGTAGAATAGAACTAATAAAACATGTGGACATATCGGGCTTTCATGTGACAAACCATGCCAGCTAAACTTTTCTTCCAAATAGCCTGCCTCAAAACATGTAGTTATTTTTCTATTATAATAATAATCACATACTCGGATAGTGATGTTCCCGCAACAAAAACTGTCTCCTCCGAAACATCTACTTGTTCTGTTATCTCCACTCACGGCAGTTACCACATCTCCAGAAGCTTCCAGTGGACGGTTCTTCGACCCACGGAGAACAATGACCGTGGATCCTTAATCCACAGGTCTGACAAAAGAGGGTAGGGGTGGGGTCAGTATGTGAGCACATCATACACGGGATAACAGCTTCAGCAGTTGCCACTGTCATAGGAGAAGATTCAACATTCGGTGGAGTTTCATCAAGTGGTGAGACCCCCACGGATGAATTATCCCACCTCTCCGTCATGGCATTCCCCATATCAAACTCAAGCAGCTCGTTGAAAGAGAAATAGGTCTGAGGTTCAAACTCCATATCCTCATAGCTGAGACCGTCACAGTTAAGTACAACCACACCATCTTCAACTGGAGAAGAATTGTCATTATTACCTTTACTGTCAGCAAAAGAATCATAGTTGTCTTCGCGCTTCACATGCCGCCTGATTGGCAGCTTTTTTGTACCTCGCCCAACAGATAAAGGTGCTGCCACCGTGTTTTCTTCTTCCCAAGAAACTACTTCTGGGTTTTGTTTGGTGGTTTTTTTCTCCAATGCAGAGAGGTAACACATAAATTCATCATCCTCAGGTATTTCCTCATCCTTTAGGAGTGGGGCCACCACTGGAGTACAAGGCTCTGATGAGATCATTGTCCCGGAATCAGAATCTACTCCAAGATCATCTACTACAGTCCTCGAAGAAGATTTTGAACGGGTTCTCTTCTCCATCAGCAATTTTTTGCTTTCTGGATCTAAGTAAGGGCATATTGGTATTCTGATCCTTCGGCATCTGCAGCATTTGAACCCCATGACATCACACACCTTTGACTCCTCAAGTTCAACAGCATCCGCATGATACCAATCTGGAATCACAAATAATTACTACAGAAACATCCTTCCCAGAGCTTGAGTGATGATGTAAACAAAAAAAAAGTCATTACTCTGCCTCAGTCTCATGTGTTGCAATTTTACTATTCATTGTTCACCGGCAACTCCTTTTTATTCTCTGATTTTGAGTATCAACTCTACCATATTGGAATTATGTTTTTGTGATTCAATGGAACTTTTAGTGCAGTTTTTAAATAATCCTTCCGTCCCATAAAATTCTTCTCTGTTTGACTTGGATCAGAGTTTAAGAAAGTAGAAATAAAGTGAAAATGTATGGTTGTGTTTGAGTAAGAAAAAGGTAAGTAAAAATGCTAGCCACACAAAACTTTCCAAAAGGAAATGGGAAGAATTTTTTGGTACATAGCAAAAAGGTAAGTGAGAAAAATTTTGTGGAACGGAGGGAGTATATACTTCCTCCGTTCTCTTTTAATTGCAACAATCAACATCTGTTTGTCAACGCACAAGTTTGACCATTAATATATTACATTCTTTATTAGTAAAAATTTTAAAAATTAATAATTTGAAAATTTAGAATGAGAAGAAGAATTTAAAAATATTTTTTAAAAAATTTAATTTGTAATACATTAATAAATAAAATTTAGTCAAAGTAGAATATGTGAATAGTGAAAAAAGTCCAATGTTGCAATTAATAGAGAACGGAGGTAGTAATATATAAATCTGAATTATTAACATTAATTTATGAAGTACCAGCCTAATAGGGGGAGAATAAATATACCATCAGTAAATCTACAAATTCCAACACAGTATGGTATGGGGTATGTATGGCGAATCAAGAAGCTTACGTTGGCAAGTTTCACAGTGGATGTACATCAGGTCTGGATTGTATTTGCTATGGCAAAGCTGGCATGATGGTCCAATCCCATTTACAGTACTGCCCTTTCTGATAATGCTTTTGTTTCTAAAATCCATACCGGTGTCAATTGCATTCGGCTTCCTCCACATGATTCCCCAAGTCTTTATCTTTGCTTTTGAACTTGAGTTTCCATCTTGTTTCACTTCAGAAGATCGTCGATTGCTTCGGGTTGATGAAGAAAGACGCTTACAGCCAGAAACCATTCCACCTTTGCGAGGGGCTGAATCAGCATTTGGAAATTCTTGCCCTTGCAAGAGAAGAGGGCTGTTTGGAGATTCATTACTGGCTGCACATTGTGTGACAGTATAGTTTTGATGACATTGTTTGCAAGAAGAGACTACTACACATTTAGTGTCATTGTTTGGATTTACTGTTGATATGATTGTACACTGCTCATGACAAAGACCTGTGGGGAAACAACACTACCAGTGACTGACCAGTACAAGAGAGAATCATCAATCATGAGAAAGAGATAGAATGTCATAATACCTTGGCACACATCGCAAATGATGGCATTCCTGGAAATGTTATCGCACATTAGTACATGGATAGGGATGAAAGGCCACGTGAATAATTTTTAAAATAGCTTACAAAACGAAAGGTTCATTTAGCAACGTTTACGTGTTGTGTTTCGCATTTTATGTTTTCAAAATTCTGTTATTCTTTTCTATTATCTGTTTTAAATTTCTAAAAGTTTTCAAAAAGAAAAAAATATTCCGTGAAACAAAATATATGATTTAGAATTCTAATTTTTTATACATAGAGCCGAACTTGGAAACATGCTTTCAAAATCAATAATGAAACACTTGTTCCCAATAATTTTCAAAGCTCTGCTTTTGTTTTCAGACAAGGAAAAAATTGAGGACATAAAACATCAACAAACGACACCCCAAGAATGAATGTCACAATGGGAAGGACAAATCAACACAGGAAATAGAACGCAATAGGTCACACCCAAGGTCTGAACTTAATACTTGAAAATCCATTAAATAGTTTCTCACAGGGTAACAAAAGTATGAAAATAACAATTACCTCAAGAAAACATCAACTTGACAAAAAGCACATGAACGCTTGTCTTCACCATCTCTTTTATATGTGAGGTAAGTGAATATATCTCCACGAACTGTTCTTGAACATTTTCTTGACCGCTTAGAAGCAAATGCTTTCATGGGTTTATCAGCAGAAGCAGAGTGAAAATTTTCAACTAACTTAGTTTCATACTCCTTGATTAGATAGAGAGGAACGCGTGACTCAGAGAACCAATGCACTTCCTTCCCGTCCTGCTTTTTCTCTATCTCAACAACACTCTTCATGACTCGTGAAGATAGATGTTTCTGATTTCTAAAAGCAACACTGTATCTTATCTCATTCTCAACTGTTCCTTTATCACATATAAAAGCATTTCTAAAAGCAGAGGCATCAGTCTCCACACCTTTTCCTTCCAGGAGGGTCAGTTCAGGACGAACAAGATCACTCCATCTCACATGCATATCAAGGTACCTGACCTGATAAAAAATAACACCTTTATATTTTGATACTAGAGGAATGACTATAAGACTATTCTTGTGGATATTACTTTTATGACAGCAAGGATTTGGTAGTAAACTAGTAAAGAACAAATCAACAGATACTACAAATATGAAATTAAAATTTATCATCATTCATATATACACATGGAAGCACCTGAAGCGCCAGCTGCGATGCAGTCTTACACATCTCGACTGCAGCTCGCCATACCAGCCGTCTGTTTCTTTTTGGTGTTTCACTACCCTCACTGTAATAAATCTCAGGAATTTTTCTTCTACCACCTGCGAGAATGATCTTGTCAAATGTTACTGTTTATCAAGATCTTCTTGCAAATATGAATGTATATACAAAGTATATGTTATGCTGCAAAATGTTCATAATACCTTTGAGTGCTGCTTTCTTCACCATAGATCGAGGCAATGTCCCTCTTTGGAACATATAATTTGAGAGCAGGCTTCCTCCTCTCCACCAAGTGAAGTCTGTTGACTTATCTTGACCCTGGTCAACACTGGCATCAACTACAGCAGATAGCTTTCTGCCACGTCTACCTGGTTTACGCTTATGAGATGATCCAGGAACACTTGCTGCAGTCTGGCTGCCAGAGGATTCAGACGAGCAGCCATCAACAAGCTTAACCCAGTCAGCAGAAAGAGCAACCATGCGGATGTTCTCTTCAAGCTTTGAGAACAAAATAATCAAACTTCAGTGTGAACAATGTAAAAATATAGTTTAATTTATATTAGTATCACGAATTATGTTAATAAAAAATCAAATTTAGGATTTTTTTAATAACTGTGTAATCAGGGGATCGTGATAAATTAGTTTGCAGCATACTGAAATAGAAGAAATGAAGGTTGAGATAATTTATGTGAATTCATAAAGGCAAAATTGTAGCAAGGGTCAAAGAGACAGATAATCACCTAAATGTGCACTACCAATTAATATATACTAGTTCCTTTAACAGCCCTATGTGTCTCTCGGATAGCAGCCATCTCCTGTGTCTTAACCCTAAGAGTAAGGAACAAAAGTGATCATGACTCATGAAATAGGGTAAAGGGAAACTACCCATAGGTTCTCAACTTCCAGTCAATTCCGTTAAGACGGTTGAAATATGTAAAAAACATGTCTATCCACTTGACCAGTTATGCTCCTAATTAAGAAGCAAATAATTTTTTAGGGCATAAAGAGAACCAATTGCAATGAGGATTATTATACATAATAAGACTGCATGTAGAACTGCTTAGTTAAAAGGATTGGAAGCAACATTGTAATTTGTTTCAACATATATGATATACCTACTCAGAAATACTGCAACAATAATGCAAAAAAGAATACTTACTTCAAGCAGAAGAGACTTTATAGTATAGCAAGATGTAGCTTCTTCTGCTTGTTTACGCCAATGATTTCTAAAAGCTGCATTTAGAAACGGACCAACTATTAAACCCCTTAAGCTCTCCTCCATCAATATTATGTACGCGGCAACACCATGAAGGTTTCCATCTCCACTCTTTCCAGGGCGAAGGGTAGCAAGTATCTTCATGGCCGCCTTAGTTGCATTTGATGCTGCTGCATTTAGCAAGCAAGCTTTCTTACTAGCCACAGGGGCTTTACAAGAAAGACACCAGCTACACCTCTCCCTAGGAACTTCAATAAGTTTTTTTTCTGTATTGGGCCAGAAAAAACGGGTTGCTACTGATGAGAAGGCTTTTGTTTGTAGTAGAACATCAACAGACATAAGTTTACGGCGCTTCCCTGAAGTATGAGACTCAGAACCCTGATTCTCCTCAGAAGAAAGTACAGCAAGACTAGCTGCAGCAGAAGCAGCAAAATCTCCATGTAGATAATAATTCAAATATCCATTGGCTTTGAAGGAGGAGCCACTGTACAATCCCACATCGGTATAATTGTTATGATTTTTTTCAGATCTTTCCTGAAAACCTCCACATTCAGGCGCCAATGCTCCAGCACAATATTCACTATTGTACACTATGTCGTTGCTACTGTTTCTTGAGGTACAAGAAGTAGTTTCTATCAAACCTGGGAAGTCTTCTTGAGTCTGCCTAGAATGGTCAGCCTGCTGGCCAGCTAAAAGTGACATAGAAGTCATATGCTCACTCCCTTGTCCTATATTGAAACTGCCACATTCAGGCTTTGTTGATAACTCTGAGCCATCATTAAGCACCAATTCCTTGGAATAGTTATGAAATTGTATATTTTCTAAGCTTATCTCAGCGGCACAACTTGCAAAACTCTCATTGATATGATTTTCCTTTCCCAATAATGTAGAAAGAGAGGGAACAGGGCAGCCATCATCTTTGGGTCTGTTTGGTAATCTTGTATCAATTCCAGCTGCTCCACTATGAGGTAAGACATTGGTCGGAATCCCCCAGTATTCTCTGATCCCCTTACATATTTCTGAATATACTGTATAATGTTGTATGTTTGTATTTAGTGCTTGGAGTACTCTTGAAATATCATTTTCATTGTAGTATCTGAAGCAAGAGCCTGACTTCATTGTGTCCTCCAACCTGCATCAAATGGAAGGAAAAACATGTGCTATGATATAAGGCATAATAAGAAAACGACAGCCATCCAATATCTTTTAATAGATAATAGAAGAACATTGGACATTGCCAACAAGAAAAAAACAGCTAAAAAGCCAGAAAACTTATTGAGAAAGAGACATACACGAGTAAATGATCACAACTGCCCATGAAGATTAGTCCGTGAGGATCGACACCAAACAACACTGCTCCTTTCAAAGATGTTCCCCTTATTGGTGTTGGTCTGAGTTCATTAATTCTGCATTCAGGACAATACCAGTTTTCATCCCGCATATACATTTTGCATACTCCTATGCATCTTGCATGGTAAGATGATGGGCATCCATCACAGCAAAGCAGAATTCCTTCCATGCCACAGAGACGGCATTCATCACCATTACCATCTTGATCCACATCAATACCGGTATCTGAGCTAACTTTTAAACTCAAAGAATCTTTAGCAATGATATCTATAGTCTCTTGCTCCTTAAAAGCAGATGTCTTAGAGTACCTAGGATGAACCCTTCTTGGTCCAGTTATAGGGGCAAGAGCACCTCCTTCTGAATCTGTTCCTAACTCTGACGCTTCGCGCATGTCCATTTCTGCTCTTACTTCTTCAGCATCTAAGACATCATCGCACATGATCTGCAAAACCATCAACTTATGGCCAGCAGACAGAGAATAGTATTCCCTTTCTAAAATATGCACACCAAATCCTTTCCAAACAGGTCCATTCAAATATCTCATCACCAATAGATACTGGACCAGATAAATTGGCCAAGTCATTGTGTCAAGCAAACTCCAATCCAAGTTCCTACAGACACGTGATATATCATACGTGGTTTTAAAAATATTAGGAACAAAGATGTATGCACAATAATTACATATTCAAAGAACAAAGATGTATCAACAGGTCCAAAAACTGTCCAACCGGTGTAAAACTTTTTTTTAATATGTCACTATAAAATGTAGTGATTTATTGTACAAAACCAAGGGTTACTCCATAGAACTCGAATCATATTTCATATGGATATAAACTGCAAACTGGAATGATTATTAATCTATAATAATCACTACTCCAACTATATTAAAGATATACCATTGCACTCACTCCTAGTGTGTGTAAAATATTTTTACATGGCTGAACTAATGTATGGGTTTAAACAAGGGTGTATTAGAAGACTGTTCAATATTTATTGGTAAATATATGTCTATTGATTTCTGGCATTATGATTATGGGTTTGGTTATTTTAGTACTTCAGAGGATATACAAATTTCTTACACGACCCCATTTTAAATGTCCTAGCTCTGCCACTGTGCACAACCCATGCATCGGCAGCATTTTGTTTTACTTTTCCTTTATTTCAGATAATGATAACACATGAAGATAAAAAATAAAGAGTGACCACACAAGCAGTCATGTATTGCATAAAGATACTCATAATGAGGAATAATTTTGATGGCATTTCTTCGCAACAAGACAAATCCATTAATAATGGCTTGGTAAGGCAAAGAAGGGAGGTAAATAGTAAGCATATGGGTCATATTATCAAACAAATTAAACATGCAGTTCAGTATGCCAAGAGCGTTGACACTAAGAGGGTATAATGAAAGAGTGAAACAACTATGTCCTTTCTTAAGCATCAATTAAAAAAGTAGGGATTTAGGGCTTGACAATCAGTTGACGTGAGCCACTGAAGTGTTTATCATACTCTTACATTAATTGTACACTATGACCTTCCTGATATTAAACTACAATGGTTTTATGGCTCCAACTTAGCAGCCGGACTAATGAAACTTTTAAACCTTGACTTATCTACTCATCTTTCAACATCATTACTCATTAATAAAAACCGATGTGATTACAACTATCCAACTTAGCTTAATGTTCAGATGAAGAGAATTTAACTTGGGGGTGGGGGTATAGAGTACCTTAAACATTTTGATGCAAGCTCAGAACCATCCAATGACAAATTTTCAAGATGTTGCCTCAATGCCCTCATCAAAGCAACGTGAACAGAATCAAATAATGTATTCGGAGTAGGACAGTTGAGTGAGCCCACAAAATCATCAAGTCCAAAAGGACTCAAGAATAACCGTGTGCTAAATGATCGCAAAAAACTATATACAGAGAGAAGATATGAAACATACTCCTCTGGGACACCAATGTTCCCGGAAGAAAGAGGAAGTTCAGGGGGAGGTATGGCTGGCATTACAACATCTGACATCAAATCCATTGCATCATCATCTTCAGACAAATCACTCAAAGATTCAGCACTGTAATCTACTTGCCCAGTTTCAACTATACAGGGACCATTCTCAACTTGGCAATCAATGGCACTCACACTATTATCAGTTACATTCATTGGAAGAACTGCATTCTCAACCTGGCAATCATTGACAGTCATACTACTGTCAGTTACATTCATTGGAAAAACTGCATTCTTATCCTGGAAATCGATGGCTGCCACATTGGTATCAGTTACTTCCTTGGGAAGAATTGCACCATCATTATCACAATCAATGGATGACACCTTATTATCATCTGCATTCATAGGAAGAATTGCTTTCTCCATGTGCGGATCAGTGGCTGATACATTATCATCACTCAAATTCATTGAAGGAATTGTATTTCCAGCATGGCAACCATTAGCAGACAACTCCTTGTTGAAAGGCAGCTCATCTAATATCTTCTTCCTCTCCAACCAAATACCATCCAACGCATCTTCTTCAATCAAAACATCCTTTAATTCATTGCTATCCAAGTCTTCACAATCCCCGTCTTCATAATTTATCCTATACAATCCAGAATCATAACTAACTATCTTTCCCAAAAACGTCCCACTTCCTTCAAACTCCTTCCTAACATATCTCCCTACGATCACCTTAGACCTCGTGCTCACCATCCGTTTCTTTCCATTATGATCCACCTCTATGCTCTGCACATCTATTCTTCTGCGTTTCCTCCCTCGCCTCTCAACTTTCCCCATAGCAGCTACCGTGTCAAACGAATTAGGTTTGAATCCAAATCCAAATCACACCGCAAATTAAAAAAAAAAAAAACTTTCCGTATTTCAAAGTCCACCAATTTACGGCAACCGTTTGGGATTTATGCTGAAGCACAAAATAATGAACAGATTCAACGAGAAAGGGCAATTCAATAAAACTGCATGAGTGCTGAAACAAATCAATCATCACCTAAATTCAATCGGGAAACATCCCCGTCAATACAACATTAGGGTTTACAGTATCTATAAAGAAATACACACATAAAGACAATAACTACATCTACATCGACAACAGCCTGTATTTCTTTGATGATACGCGTGAGGTCAAATATTTACCTCAATCGATATGACGATTCACCGCCATTGAAGAAGACGAGAAAGCATAAAAGGGATAGGAATAGTAGCGGTAAGAGCCCTAAGGCAAAGGCCTCACCACATATGCTTATCTGCCCTAAAAATAGTGAGTCAGAGTATCACGATGTGAATATTACGTAGGTAGATTGGAACGGCAACTCCGAGTTCGATTCTTTGACTCGGACGAGTCGGATGCAGCACTTTTGTTTGTAATTCGTGTAATATTAAATAACTTTTAAATGGACATATTAATTAATAATACGGAAATTGTTCTAAATAGGACTAATGAGTTCTTAAAAAGCACAAATAGGATTACTATATTTTAAATTTTCTAAATAGGACTAAGTATTGATTTTCTACCCTAAATACCCCTAAGAGTATTAATTCATAATGAAATACTTTAATTCATAATAAAATCATACGTAAAAAATATTTAAAAAATGTAAAAAAAAAAATATAAAACATTCATAAAATATTTATAAAATAAAAAATTTAATTATTATTTTTTTCATTTTAAAAAAAAATAATAAAAAATAGTAAAAACCCATAAAAAATAAAAATAAAAATGGATACCTTTCCTGCCGCCTCCCAGCACCACCACCTCCGATTGGTGAAATTTCTTCCACTTTTGGTAAAGAAAATGTCATCTTTTCTGAAAATGCCAAAATAATGGCATAATTACTCTTCAATATGTCATCATTTTCATTGAATATGCCATCATTATGGCATTATTTAAAATGTTGGCATATTTTTCTCGGTGATGAGAGCTGGTGGTGCTGGGGTTGGCAGGGGTGGTAATGTTTTTTTTATTTTTACGATTTTTTTTAAATATTTTTTTTTATTTTTTCTTATTAATTTTCTATTATTTTTTACGATTTTTAGTATTTTTTCGATTTTTATTATTTTTTTATGATTTTATTATTAATTAAAACATTTCACAAGCTACAAGGGTATATTTGTCCAAACACACATAAATAGTCCTATTAGGGGAATTTAAAAAATGTAGTCCTATTTATATAATTTTGCCACTTTTTAGTCCTATTTAGGGAATTGACTCTTAATTAATACTCCACTACAAAATATACTCCGTATTAGGGGTGTTTGGTACTGATTCTGTTTCTACTTCTTTTTTTAAAGCAGAAGCAAAATCAGAATCAGTGTCCAGAAGCTGGTCTCCTCCAGCTTCTAAAAAATCTTATTCTATGAGTAAATTAGAGCACCAGAATCAGTTCTTCACTTTCACTCAAACACTTCAACTTCTGTTTTTGCTCCCTGGAGGAGCAGAATCTGTTTTAAAAATCAGATCCAAACACCCGCTTAATAACAAGGCAACTTCCGAGTGATTTCATTAGTGGTGGGACTTTGGAACGGGAACCGTAGAACTGATTGAAACTGAATCGTTATAACCCAGTTCAGTCAGGTTCCTATAAATGTGATAGTAGTTGTTAACGATTCGGTTCTAGTTGTGCACAAAATTGTTAAGGAATCGTTATTAAAAAAAATTAAAATAAAAATAGTAATGGTAGTAGTGATTGTAAATAACAATAATATCAACAACAATATTAATATTACAATTAATGACATTTAGTCAACAATTCTAAATATAAAATAACACAAATAACTTATACCGTAATTGATTGCATATATTTAACTTCACTATCTTCATGATATTTGTAACTATTAGATTTGATGTAAATTATACTACTAGCAAATAGACTGTAATGATGCATTTATATCTATACTAGTTTTTTATACGTGCGTTGCGTGATTCAATAAATGCCCAATAATATAAATATTTTAAATATACTTGTGTAGGATTCGTTGTGAAACTCAAACTCCACAAAGAAGGAAGAAAAGTGAAATGAGGTGTGAAGTGATATCACAGAGTATAAATATTTTTCAAACTATAACAATCCACATAGAATGAAGTCATATTACATGTAAAGCTAAATCTAAAAATTATATTTCATGATTTAAAAAATGAAGATGATGATCTCATTTAAATTTAGCTGACCATGTTTGATACAAAAAACATGCTTCAGGACAAAGGTAGATGGTTACCATATAGTAACCATATGACACAAGCCTCATATTTATCAGTCCGGTGTTAGGTCCATGTTTTTAGCTTATGGTGTTTAATCTGTTCCAATTCATTCCGGTCCTGAGTCGATGAACACCCTTAGCAAAGAACATATAAACAATCACTGGATCATATATTCACCAGGACCACAGAAAATGTGTAAAAAAATAGATAATGAAGTTTTAATTTTTCAATCTGTATTACGGAGTGTTAATTAGAACCTGAAACCAATACAAGAACCTTAAACCAACGTGCTTAAATTTTCATACATGAATAAAAACAGCAGACCCAATGTTAAACTAACATAAAACCAGTAATATTCATAAGAAAAACCCCAAAACAAAAAGAGGTGTATTATATATTCATAAGAAAAGTAAAAAGTATTGTGACAAAAATAAACCTATTTATACTTAGCACTGACTTAAAAAGTAACTGATGGACCCGAACTTCAACCAATGTCAAGTGGCCCCATTGCGAAGAGCTTCATTAAGCATGTATGTTACCATCAAGGTTCAATATCAGAGAGTACGTACAAGTGTAAACAAACATTGCAGCCTAAAGATGTTACAATTAAGGCACTTTTCGATGAAAATGATATATAGATAAACACATGTGTATGTGAAAGTATGAAAGTATTGTGTGAACATATTTAATAAGATAACTTATAGGTTAAGTTTTATTGGACATAGTGGAAGCAATCACCATGCGCCCCCATAAACTATATACATCTTAATGATCTTATCGCAATAAGAGGTCTCGGTGTTCAACATATTACACAGAAACTCAACAATATCCATTCCAATATACTCAACATCCCGAATTATATGCCTTCCATCCAAATGTATCATATCTTTCATCACCAGTGATGAAGTTGCAGCAAGTGATTCGGTGATCATCTAAAGAAAAGAAATCTGGAAAAAATGAAAGGGAAGAAATTCTTTATAGAAAAGCCTATCAAAGAAAGTTTTCCAACCATTCCAAATACGAGAAGACTGGGACACTTACATGCACAATCGGGAATCTTATTGTGCATTATTTCTCAAAAACTTTAAGGAAAGTAGGATCAATCATTAGACTGGATCCAAAGCAGACAAACAAGACATAAACTCATCAAATCCTTGTCTTTTCAATATTGAAGAGAATCACATGAGTCTAATATAGCTTGTGAATAATTTATCTTCCCTAGCCCCCATCTCAATATGCTATGCAGCAACTTCTTCACACAACCAGCACTTTCACACTTCTTTTGTATATATACTTTTCAGACCCTTATATTTAAGGGCTAAAATACAATAGGTAATAGAGAACATGGTTTTATTACCTTCTATATTTAGATGACAGACATTAGCTCCACAAATTAATTAACAAGGGACACATGATATTGGGCTTACAGTTTAAAGGAAACACTTATCATAATGTTCATAATCTCATATTTCGTTACATGGGAGAACAAAGAAATCCTAGACAAAAAAAATTCCTGAATGAACAGGGATAGAACCAAACAGAATCAGAAACGACAAAGTGAACCAGAGTTCTCTGATTTATGTTGTCCACAAGCAGTAAGCTAATGTCCATTTTAATCATAATAATAATAGTAATAATTCATCAAATTGACGCATAACAATAGAAAAAAATTGGATCGAGGAAATGGCCAAACTCACCTTTGCTTTGGGAATGACTTTAACTGCAACATCTTGACCCTTCAACTCACCCTTCAATAATATTGAGTTTATCAAATATACTAATTAATATCACTTATCAAAAACAATAGGTTAGCGTTTGTCAATTTATCCTAAAGTTACAAATGTGTAGTATCCTAATTCCTAGAGACGTTATAGCTAGCTCAAAAACCTTAGTTAAACATGACATATGATGATATAAACATGCATTAAAAGAGAAGTTTAAAACAATCGAAAGTACCGAATACTGCTTAGTTGGTTACAAATTAAAGCGGGGTAATTCCATATCAGGCCTCACTTATTCAGCAACACTTAAATGATAATAAAGTAATTTTTTGTAGGTTTAAATGAGAAGAAGCATTACTTTTCTCTCCTACTTACTTTAACCCAACCGCTATTGATACTCAAATTGGCACGTGAATATGCAGTTTGGACTCAATTGACTTTATTTGGTTCCAAGTAGGCAAGCTGTGACACCGCACCCGAACGTCCTTGAAAATTCAATTTAAAAAAAAATAATTGAAAGTCTATGTATTGAATTTCTGATTTCCAAACAATTGTAAAACGATTAATGTTCTACGTAGCTCATAATTGATTATTGTACTGTTCAAACTCGTGCATTAGTGTCGGGTTGCAAATACTTATTTGGGCCTTATTAATGAAAGTAAGAGCCCAACATTTCCTAAATAATGTTACATAACCTTTTGATACAAATTAAGGAAGGTCGGGCAGCCCAAACATTATTTTGAGCCCAACTGCTAAAAATAGTAAGTATTCAAGAAGGGCGTCCGAGGCCCACTCGAGGGTGACCCACACGGATTGTATTCCATGAACATAAATACAAAAGTCACAAATAAGTAATAGGATGGTTAGAGAAGAATACAAATGCCTATGACCCCATCCTTGACATTATTGAGCTAAATAATGGGAGTAGGATTTTCCCTTCTATAATATTCATCATGTAAATTATTGGGATGACCGCACACATATTGGGGATCAATAATATGATGTATGAAGTTGACTTGACCTACATAAATTATAGTGAGTACAAAAAAAGACATATCATGACAAAGATAAAACAATATGGTCCATCTTTTCATTTTGGAAGTATTGGTAGGTATTTTGGATCCCAAATTGAATGGGATCATTTTGGGAACCATCCCACATGACCTTGGTACCTGCAAGACAAAGAAAAATGGGTGAGACAACTATGTGGGGCGGACATTTTGACTTAAGAGCTAAAACATTACAAAAAGGAAATGAAAGAGGAGGTCCACACCATGTTTGATTGCAATCAAACACCCTACCCTTTCTTTTTGTGAACCACATGCCTAGATATCATTTTGAGAGCTCCTAAAAACCTCCCCCTCACCCCTCATTCGAACCAAAAGGGATAAGAAAGAAGGGAGAGCCTCACACTCAAAAAGGAGAG